ACACAGGGAATCCCACGGGTAAGAAGCCTGAACTGCCTGACCTGCGGGAGCTGATCTACCAACACAGCATGTGCGCGGGCTGCTCGTGGGAACAGAGCCGGTCCGTTTTCAGGAGTAACTGCATTATGGAGACGTAAAAGGTAACAGAGGGCAAAGCTCATTTAGCAGGTAAAACAGAGGCTGCGGCTCTCGATGCAAATGAGCATTAGTTACAGTGCCACAGGGAGAATGAAGGATCCTTTCAGTCATCCCAAAAGGGACCATCAGGGAGTGGTGATATCTGAAGGGCTTTTGAACCACCATCACCACCATCACTATATGATTCAGAACAGAGGATCTGAATGGCAAGTTGTATTTCCACAACAGTTTAAAACCTGCATGTGAAGGCTGTCCTTTGATACTGTCCAGTTCCGGATCTAATTATTCTCCAGGATGAAGATAATTCCCAACCACCCTACGAGCAGAGAGAAGAGAGGTACTGCTACCCACCTCCTCACCTGCATCAATGCCACCAGCTGCCAGATGGGAAGCTGCTCAGTTAGTTGCCCAGTCCATAGGGAGGGGAGGGGGGTGTACTAACCAGAAGCTGCAAAGAAGCTGCACCACAAAAACCAGCCCAGGAGAACGACTGCAGCTTCAGCAACAATCGTGTCAGCAAAGAAGATTCAGAAGGCAACACAAGCATTTTCCTGGGCCTCCAAACTCCTGATGCCAATTCCCACTGGCTGGCTGTGAGCTCCAAGCACAGCCTTACTCCATGGTCAGTGTGTGTGTATGGTCTCTTTCCTGCTTCTGTTCTGGTGTGTAAATAAAAGTGGAGCTTATGCTGTCATCTTGCCTTTGAACCAACGACTTGTACTACCTAGTTTTATGAAGCTCATAGAAGCTTAATTATTTTTTGAGACATTCCCTCCCTCCCACTCCGTTTGCCAAAAATGAGTGAAGTCTGCCAACAGACTCAAAAGTAATTAGGGGAAGACACACACTGGCAGCAAGATTACCCCAGACACATTTCCTTTAGAAACCAGGCTAAAAATTACAGCATTGTATTTATTAAAAGAGTCCCCTGAAGTCATATTCATAATTGCTGATTGCTGTTATTGGCAATACAGCAGATTTTTAAAACAATTTTTTTTGGAAGATTATATTTGGTTTGTACAAATCAGATTGATTTCACCTCTTTTAGCTGCAGGCCAGCCATTTATGAATGCTTTTCCCATCTGTTAAATGGGGATGATAAGTACTTACCTGCCTCAGATGTGGTCTGTGGGCAAACACAAACAGTGGTCTGAAGATCTTTAAAGCATTGCTCTACATAAAAAATTATTATTATTACTATAAACATTGCTGTAAGATTAGCACATACACATTTTACACTTTTTAAGTGGCTGCAACCTTTTAAAAAAAGAGGCACAATAGAGGGCTAATCCTAAGATGTATTTAAGTGTGATACAGAGGAAATAGTTCATTTAGCAATCTTTTGCCAAGGTAGGTTGCTGCTGCAATTTATCTTAATACTTAGGAAAACAGTGTATTTTATTGGACAGTTCCATTGCTTTTAAGAAGAATGTCTGACAAAGAAATAATGGGCTGGAAAATGTTTCAAGGAGGCTTTTCTCAAACATTTCCTTCTTTGTTAGTGCTCACTGCATAAAAATGCATCTCCTTACCCTTGAATTCATCTCGGTCATGCCACTGCATACTGATAGGCCCAACGGGAACTCAGACAATGTTTCCAACACACCCAGACCCATTCATCTTCCTGCTCTCTACTGCCTTCTTGAAACCTCAGTGGTACAGCTCACAGACTCTGCTGGTTGGCTTGCAACGTGAGATAAACCTGCCATGCTGCTGCCTGCCTCGCTGCTGCTCACACGGGGCAGGTGGTTGGGATGGCACCTTTCTTCCTGGAACCCATGGATATCCAGGGATGGTGCACACACTTCACACAAGGTGGGGAAATACAGGAGGCTATGCAAAATGAGTGCAAACTCTGCAGTCTTTGAAGAGGACAGGCAGTGAGAGAAAGAGGTCTACATCCCGTACAAGCATTGCAGACTTTTCCCCTCCTAACCCTCCCTCCCCCAATATACATCAGAAGATGATTTTTGAGCAGAAAACCATCTTTACATGTCCCACAACATCCAGGTAGTGGTAAGAGGGGCTGCTGCTTGCTTCCCCACTCTTGCCCTACCCCCATCCCTGCTGCTCTCTCCCACACTTACTGTGCAAATCATTAACCTGTCAGCTGGATAAAAAAAAACCCCTGTGTCTATGTTTCCCAAGTCAGCAGTCAAACAATGATGGGCTGCCAAATTGCCCCAAATAAGCAACCCATGCAGCATTTTCTTTTTAATTATAAAATATTCTTACTAGCTTACCTGAATGCATTTGGACTTCCCCCTTGTGCCCTTATTTAATTTTTAATGATAAGGAATTAAGAGCCACTATTCTCGATAAACGCTGGGAAGGCTGCTGATCTTTCACACACACACACACACACACACACACACACAGTAGGTGTTGTATTATGGATTTAGCTAAGGTGTACTGTGATTGCAACAAAGTTCTAAACTTCAAGTCAGTTATTTCCTTTTCCAGTAGGCACTCACATTGCAAGACTCTAACTCAATGTCTCTTCTCATACACAAACTACAAGCTACCTACAGAAATGTAAAGTGTGAAATTAAAAAATAATCATCACTTAGTGTCAATTGGGTATGTTTGACATACAAATACAAGAATTCAAATGAGAAAAGAAGTCAGAAAAAAACATTTAATTATAAAAGAGCTTTTTTTTAATTAAAAAAAAGATAATGGCACTAAACCAGAAACAAAGTTATTTAAGAGATCATAGCCATAGGGTGCTTGCAATTTTATACTGAAACTGTACAGCCATTCCTATCATCTGCACTTTGCTCCTGATTAAAGCAACATCTAGAATTTCAGTAACAAGTAATCTTTTACAGAACTCTAATGTATTATGAAAACACACAATTTTGTATTACATAGCAAAAAAACCATTATATTTATTACACTGGATTCATAAATATTCACCTAAGCATTTTACTGGTTTTCTACTCTACTCCCTACATTTGAAGAACAGGGAGTGTGGTTTGTTCTATTGACAAAAATGATTTGTCTTAGAGGATTTGCCCATAGTGGCCCAGTGCTATATCACATAGGTGTACCCAGCTGGATGGAGCATTGAGGGCAGCACAGTCACATTAGAACTATTTCCTATTTTACTCATCCTGCTTTTCAGAATCAGTCAGTGTCTCCTTTCCATATAAAGACAGCCTTTGACTTCAAAAAACAATAAATACTCACCCCCCCAAAATTGTTCATATGCTATGAATAACTAACCAGCAGATATCTAATTTTTCTATGACCTTTCAGAGTTCTGTTTCACTGCTTGTATATAACAGGGAGAGTTCCAGTGGTTACTTTGTCAACAGTCAGGGCCCATAGCCAAAGCTCAGCAGAAAGGCCCTTTATTCCTTTAATCACCTTTCATCATGTAAAAAAAAGAAAAGTAATTCAGTCCTTGATTGTATGTAGAATATTCCCTGTGAGGTCAATATAATTCTGTGTGTGCATTGAAAGAATTTCATTCCAAGGCTATAATTTCACAGTAGTTATTTCAGGTAGTCAGCACACAGGTGTAAGCACTTCAGCACAGCTGAGCTAGTTTACAAATAAATTGTAAAGTGGTACACAAGCTAGTGACCCCAAAGTGTTGCTGTGGGACTGGGGCTCTGGAGCTCCAGGCCACAGCTCTTTGTGCTTCAACAACTCAGGTCACTCTATAATACATTATCAGTGAATTCCACAGGGAGCTTTCAGTACTTCCCTGCAAAGAAATGGATTTGCAATAGTTCTCCATTGGACTATTAATTTTTGAAGTGGTTTAGACAGCATCTCTCAGCATCAGGGAAATCAGAACTTGATTTCTAGCCTCGTCCAGGATAGAGCAGACATAAAGCTGATGGTAGGTAATATCCAAAAAGCCTATGTGAACTCCACAGTAGACTCTTACACTGGTTTTGAGTGCAAAGTTTAGTGGTTTGCTACCTATGAAATTTAGACTACAGTTTCTCTCCACAGTTATTTTATTATCCCTGAAAGATTTTTATGTGCTAGTAATTGAAAAGTTTTGGCAGTTCACAAAATTCAAACTATCAGATGTCCAAAAATCCTGAAACCAGTGCATGTAACAAGGCTGCATATCCCTGACAGAAAAACCTGAAGGTCTTTCTAGTGCATGATAATATGTCAGAAAGGACAATGCCAAGAGTGGTGAGCTTTAAAAATGACTCATCTTGGCACATGGTCCTTTTTCTTTTTCTTTTTTTTTAAATAATCACGAGTACAATCAACTGGAAAAAGAATAAAATTCTGTAAAAGATCTAGCAAAAAAGCTACATAGAAAGCATTTTCACAGTTGTTTTTAAATAGTTTTCATCAAACTTTAAATTAGGACTTCCAATGAGAAAATACATTGCATTGCAGTTTTTTACCTGTGAAATTCACACTTATTTGGGAAATTCATGTAACTGAGTTTAGGTATTTTTAATACTGTACCATTCAGAAATGCTGATCAGGATTTGGTTCTCTATTGTACTAGCACTGTAAAGACCTATATGAACACAATTCTACACAAACAGATTGCAGATCTCTAATATAAAGAGGTTAAACATCTGTTTGAAAAATAAATTCTTCTGAAACAAGACCTACCAGATGGGAGGTAGATTAGTGCCATTGAAATATTTAAGGTATTTATGCTCATTCCAAATATAACTGGGAAAACTGTGCTATCTCCAAAATTTTACTGCAAGTAAAACAGAAAATTTACTGGTCATCACTGATGGGTTTCTATCACTTTTTTTTCTTTTTGACTGGACATAATGGTTGAATGTTGAAAGGACACAATATCCTTTTGAAACATTCAGCCTTACAAGGGGAGTCCACAGGTTGGTTTTTTGCCTTTAGTTGTGAGTTTAGCTCTGCTTGGGTTTTATAACCCATTCAGCATTTGGATTGAGCTGGTATAGGTCCTTCATGTAGGTATCATCATCAAGGCAGCGTTCTCCTAGAAATAAAAGAGAGATGTGGTTACACCAGTGTGAGCGACTGAAATGTTAAAGGTTAATGACTCAAACAATTGGCCATTTGCAAAAGCAGCAGGTGCTTTGCTGGGGTCAGAGAAGGAGAGTTTTTGGGTGTGTGGTGGTGAAACTTCTGATCTGCATAAGAACAGCCCAGGTGCAGAGGGGATGTGCACCCATCAACGGAGGATGACCACGACAAACGGACCTTTGTTTTGCAACAAGCTGGTTTTGAGTCAGATAAAGGAAAAGGGTGATAAGATGCAGATCCTGTGAGGTGTGATAATGCTTTTTATCATGCCAATTTCCTCCCTTACACAACTGACTCAGATGTAAAACTCCCCCCCCCCTCGAACATATCGGGACATTCACATGTAGACCTGAAGGTATTCATCCCTTCTGATAAGGCACAACTGGCATAAGAAAAAGCAGTCATGTCCTAGAAGGGGTCATAAATCATCAAAGACCCCCCAAACGCCCCCAGACTCATTTCTGGGGCCTTCTACCAGAGAAGGACTGTGCATGAGCCACAGTGTTGCATCACTGTAAAACTCTACCCCCCTCGGGGAGGTACCTGGGCATTCCCACCTGAACCTGAACGTATGTTAAACCACTGAACTTTATGTTGTGTGGGCTTCTCCCACCCCCGATGGATCAAGACTGTGACCATCACTTCAATGGATGGACATCCAAACTGCAACAATCAAGTCTCACTGCTGGATCCACAGGTAGTGATATCTTTCCTCTCCACTATCTACTCTTATCCATTCTTTTCCCTATGTATTTTCTTATGTGATTTTTATACTTTTATATTGCTATATTTCTATAGATAATGAGCAAAATGGCTACATACCTCCTTTCCAACCAAATTGCTCTAAAATAAATCTACTGTATATATGTATATGTATACATACACTCGTCATTCAATGTTGTTTCACTTTGCCTCAAGGGATCTATTATAAGAACCACAGTACCTCAGTTACCCTACCTCTGGGGCAGGTCTTAACAAACTTTCAAAGTTCCTGTCACTGTTTTATTCCATTTAGGTTTTCAAGATCTCTGTGGTATTAAACAAAGGACAACGCACCTAAAAGCTAAAAGTGCTCTTATCCTTCCCATCTGCCTTGAGGAAGAAGAAGGACGAGAGGAAGAAGGAAGAAGAGTACAGGCTGTGCCACCTCTGTGGCACATTGTAGGTCACATCTTTCACACAGACAGGAGCTCCCCTCTGCCAAAGTTTAGGAAAAAAGGAGCAATGACCTGGTCATCTCATGGTTATATCCAAACACTAGGTCCAGATTTGCATAGAAGCCCATTAAAATTCCTACTAAAATTTTCCCTTTTTAAATGCTAAATTTGTGCAAGGTTTGTCCTTGCTAAGAAGACGTTACTTCCTATCCTGCTTCTCTTAAACAGCTGCTCTCCATAGGCAAGCAGAGGTGCAACGCTGCAGCTGAGTTTGTCTGACAGCTCTTTGGACTCCCTGCACAGAACAGACAAGGCAGCAAGACTCCCTGCTCAACCAGGCTCAGCCTCCATCTGCTCCCTCTAGGATTTTAATCCCAATTTATGTGACCTGCACTGCCCATGCTGCTGAACTAGGCATGCTCCTCCACACAGTGCAATATGTTCAGGCACTGCAAGCACAGGGACAGTGCTTTGCCATGTCCCTATCCAGCCAGTCCCAGTCACAAAGCAGTGGCAGAAGTCCTGTTCAGTGCCCTGAAGCCCTATAGTGTACTGAATACTCAGAAATGATCTGGAGATTTCAATGGCTCCATCTGCTACCAGACAGCACTGTGCATGTTATGATTACGAGCACAAGTGTAAGGATATGAGTGCATCACAAGCTCATTGCTTTTTGGGTTCCTTCTACAGGGGTTAGTCACACTGGGCAAAGAGAGACAAATGGCAAAGGTCAGTACAGCTGGTTGGTTTATTTAAACCTGTACAGCAGGTTAAAGTCAGGGAGTTTCTCTTATGTCAACTGAGAGTATTAACTAGGTCAAACAGAGAAAACATCTAAGCTTTCTAACCTATTTCATAACAAAATAAAACAAATCTGCAACTAGCCATATATTTTCTCTAAGAGAAATACAATTTCTGTCACACATTTAAAATAAGAGTAGATTGTTCTTGTTTTGCTGGAATTCTGTTATGAAACCTTTTTTCTACAATGATTATACCTTTGTACAATAAAAGAGATACTCCCCTTCTTTGAAAAAGTCTTACATCTGGGATCACAACCTGCTTTAGCAGGCATAGGAAATGTATGCACTGGATATGCAAGAGAAAGTGCAATACATTAATCTTACATCCAGCTATTTTAGTAACTTCTTTTTTAGCCATCAGACTTATTAAAAAACACTAAAACATATCTGTCATAGGAAACATAGGGAAGTGCTACTTTTAATTAATTCTTTTGCTTTAGACACACAAATTTTGGTTTATAATAGTGATTAGGTAAAAAGGAAAAATGCTAGAAGTAGCAATTTACATACATGATTTAAACTTGCAGATTACAGAATTGCTACTTGGAATTTTATAACTTCAAATAAAGTTTAACAGGTCACAGTTAACAAGAAAAACAGTAAATGTAAGTCCAATCCACTACTGTTTTCTACTTCTCTCTTTTTTTTCTCCTGAGCATATGAAAAATACTATGATTAGAAACTGATTCCTAATGCAAAAATACTTTTGCATTCATCAGAGAAAATTTCAGAACTGTGTTCAAAATTATCCTTGGCATTAACCTTGCTGATCTGCTATTTGCTTTAATCAAGAGGGTCTGGAACAGACAGAGCAGGAAAGACTAACTGTTGGAAAATTTAATCACTAGGTCATCTTTCTGGTTGAGCATTTCTTTCCGCCAAAGGAGCCTGCAAGCAGCTCTCAAATGCAGAGCATGAAGGACTGTAAAGTTCACTTATTATGCCTCAATACAAAGAGATGAATAAGATGAACTTCAAGCACCTTTCTATCCAACCTTTCTGTGCGTCTTCACTGTATGTACATATCAGGAACATGTGTTACAGCTGCCATCTTCCTCTGGGACAGGTAATAAGATAGCACTAATGTAATGATCACACCAACATCTCTGCTGCCTTCTCCATAAGGTTAACTGTCTGCCTCACTGTCAGGGAGAACTAGGGACATGAATAAAAATGCAACTACGGTGAAGCCCATGGACAATGAGCCAAGGAATCCTATTCTAGCAAAAGAAGTTGTTCATAAGCCATTCTTACCAATATTTCCTCCTATTTCATAAAGAAAGACCTCTTCTTTCTTGAGTGTTTGGACGTTTCCACTGTAAGGAAGAAAACACAATGAATTACTGTATTGCAAAAGAGCTTGTAGATCAGCCACTTAGATGAGTCTGGGTCAAAGTATGCTAATTAAGATCAGCAGTGTACCTGTCACAAACCCTTTGTATGCTTACTGATACAGTAAGTGACCAAGAATACCCTTGCATGCTAGTGCAAATGAATAGTCCTACAAGTGAACAATATACTATAGAAAGGTAAAATAAAATAAATGTGAAGAAACTGCAGGGTTTAGAAAAGAATTTCATTGTTATTAGCAAGTAGCCTGATATTTACCCTCCGATTTTTCCTTCACTGCTGCTGCAAAAATAAGTATTCCCCTCAAACACCCCATATTTCAGAAAAAGCCTTATGGTTGAGCGTGAGAAACTACATTCTTGCTGGTTTTAATTGTACTGCAACTAAAAGAAGCAAAAAACAGACAGTGGAAGAATAAAGTCCCCATATTACCAAGGGATTCTATTATTCTCACTGCTTAATTGTAATAATGTATGCTAAGGCACAGCCAGAAAATAACTTTCTGACAAAAGTGCAAACCTCTAAAAACAGCATTTAGAATAAGCAGCTTCTTAATCTCAACTGGTTTACCATATCATTGCTTTAGCATGAGTAGTTACATATGATGAACGTGTGTAAAATATTTTTATACCGTTGCTATATATAAACATATTCTTTCACAAAATATTTTCTTTTCTCCTCATTCCTTTATTTACTAGACTTACTTTCTTGGATTTCCTTTCTGTCTTGTCCCCAGAAAATTACAAGACTATTCCTGCCCCATGAGATGAAACAGCAATTAATTTTTTTACTAACAGCACTCATATTTCTGAAGGCTTCATGAGTTTTAATGACCTTAGAACAGTTAATTCCTCAAGCGTGTATTTTGATGGCTAAGTTCAGCCCAGAAGTTCATGAACTGACCTGGACTTCAAGTATTTTAAAAGTTTTTTCTTGATATAATATATGAAAAGACACTTCTGAAATTATAACAAAACAAAAACATGTTTGTACCTTTTCTGGCTGAGAAACCTGGCTACTATATCACCGGCTTTCAGTTCTTCTGTCAGCTGTATTGCCATGGAAACTTTCGAAAGATGAGGCGCTTGCACCCGTATCACTCCCTGAGGAACATCAGTCTGCAAAGCAATAATGGTGTTGGAACAAAGCTGCTAGCAGCTGGCTTTGATGAGCTTCTCAAAATACAGTACGGAATAAGTAACTTAGTACAGTGCTCTGCACTTCACTATCTACACTTCACTACAGAAATATGACAACTACACAGTAATTCAGCAAATTACATCAGACCTTCAAAGCTCTTTTTAAAACAGGGAGAACCTCAGAACAATAGAACAGTAGTGTTTAATTATTTTTCAGAGATGCTAAGAATAACAGTAACAATTATGCTATATTAAGAACACACTCTGGTATGATAAGAAGCACACGAGATTGATATGGAAAAGTCTTGCTGCATGCATGAAAGGCAGGCAACACCCCTGCACCACCCCTCTGCTAAAGCTTCTAGAAGAAACCTGTCCAGTTTCATTTAATCTGAATTTCATGCCCAAAAAAAAAAAAGAAATCACAAAGTAATCATGGGTCACTTTACTTTAAGTGATTCCCCTTTGCAAATTTCTTCCTTTTTTTTTTTCAGAACAGATATTCACTACTGGAGCTTTTTCTCCCTATTTTGTATTATCCAGAATATATTCAGCTAGCCAACCTGCAGGTCTGACTATATAATGGATTTGTATTTTATTTTAACCCACAAGTTCTTGATGATGAATATCAATCCTATTAGTTAAGAGAGGAAGGGCTCCAAAGGACAGTTTTTCTGTTCAACTTGCAGGTATATGATATTTGGAGTTACAAAAGGCATAATTTATTTTTATGACTAAGGTCCTAATTTCTGTTCCTGGAAATCTTAAGGTAATTTTTCTACTCATATTATATTATCATGTACCCAAATGTACTCATTTTGATAGGAAAAGAAATGTAAGATTCTCAGTTCTCATGGTTGATTATGACAGTTCGTTCTCTTCTTCCCCACTCCAACATCTCTCCATTTACTCAATTGCAATGCTGAACATTTCTTCCTCTATAATCAATGAACAAATCTGGGCACCTGTGAATCTAGAATAGCTTCTCTGAAACCATCAGAGTTAAACGAATATAGAACAAATATAAATGTGAGCAGAATCATAAGCACAGCTTCCTGAAAAAGCTAAAGGCTCATTACTATACAAATTATGAGTTATGCTAAGTAATTTTAACCAAACAATCCTTTTATATCCAGTCTTATTATTTATTGATTTAAAAGTACTAAACATGATAACTATTTCTGTCTAAAGCATTAAGAACCATCATATGTGAATCTGCTATGCAGCAATTGTGGAATCAAAGATCCATAAGATTTTAATAGATCTCCATGAGATCTCGCCTAGATTTATCCCCTAAATTTGTCAAATCTTTTCTTTAGGGTCTCCATCCAAGGAAACGATGTCTGTAACCATCTACTAGGAAGTTAACTCCAGCTTAAAATTTTCTTGGCTCTTTTCCAGACTTTTGGTATCCTGGCTAAAGGACACGGTATGTTCATGCTGAAAAACTATAAAGAGAACAGATACTGAGCATCTCCTAGCCCATGCACTGAGCAAGTTGGTGGGTAAGAAAATCTGGCCTAAGACAGTAGGACCAGAGTCACAGAAGGACTGAGTCCCTGCACAGCACAGTTCAAAACATCCAAGTTAGGGGCTTCACATCACAACATGTAACTCATGTACCTATGAAATGACTGAAAACATGCTGAAGAGTGGATCACCTACACTATCAGTTTGCAAGTTTCCTCTCCAGCCTCACAGGCTTTCTCAGGATGATACTGAAAACACTGCAACCTCTGGTTGAATTAGGTACTTGCACTCTTAAAAGAACTGAAGGCACATCCTTAATTAATGGAAAATACACTGACCTACAACATTTAGTCTGCAGCAGGCACAGCAGTCACCTGTGAGGTACTCATCTTCTTTCAAACCCTTTCTTTTCAGAGGAACTTGACTCTATATATCACAAAAGAACAGTAGATGCCTGGCTATAGGATCTGGGGTGGGTCTCTTGCAGATTCTCCTATTCCATTTTGTATCACACACTCAAATATTCACCAGGCTTGATGAAGAGAGAAATTAAGTTAACTAAGCAGTATTTTCACTAATGATGGAATACTGTATATATTCATTAAATGTGCAAATTATACCAAGCAGAATTGGAGCATGAGCATTATGAGCAACAAAACTGATTTTCAGAAGATCTTGCTACATGGAAGGCAAAGTCTGAAAGAAGTGCAAAGCAGCTCTCTTTGAGCTGCAAAACGTTGCACCTAGTTTGGGACAAACAACTGCAAAGCAATACAAAGATGAATGATTTAGCAGGTATAAATCTTTTTTTTTAGTAAATAATCTGGCACTGCAGTGAGTAACAAATTCAGCAAGTCAGAATCGTTATTCTGTGATAATTGAAACAGATTACACAAACAGAAGGGCTATGGGATACAATGGTTACCCTAACCTGTAGTAGCTAAACCCAGTAGTATTGCATTGTGCTGGTAACACAACTGCTCCTTTCTCATGGAACAATTGCAACATACAGAGGAATACAATGACAGATGGTATAAATCTGGCTAAAGCTAGTAGGCAAAAGTCCAGTCCTGAGGGCATCTTTCTTTGCCTGGCTAAAACATTATGCAGCCTAACACCAACATAAAGACTTAATCCTGAACACTGACTTGGGGCCATAGGTATGCATAGGTATCCCAACAAGCAATTAACCCTCACAAGCTCTCCAATATTAAGCATTCTGGGCACTGTACAGACATCTCACCTGAAGTTTGCAGCAAATGCTATTTAACCTCTGTCTTAAAAAGGGAAATGTGATTGAGAGGCCTCATCAACAATAAGATTAAATTTTATCCACATGAGCTGCTGCTATTAAGAATGTAGATACTGAGTTATTTCTGGAGAGTATGGAAGTGACTCAAACTCTGTCCATCTATGTGTAATCATGTGCAGTGCCACAGGAAGTGGTAGAAAACAGCGATTTTCCCCTAGCTTTTATTCAGCTGTATGCAAGGTAGTTAGCTTTCAAAAGTTTCAGACAGTTTTCACTGGAGTGGGGATTCACTACAAGTCCGAGTGCCTCATTTGCCAAATAATAGCAGAATGCAGTTCAGGAAATGCACAGGAAAATTACCTCAATTTCAAATTAAGACTGTATAAATTGTAAATTGGGGAAAAAAAACCAAACAACCCACAACAATTTTTCCTTAAAGAATGAGACATTTTTTTTACTTGGAAAAATGTATAAAATGGTCATTCACAATGAAGCCATCTCAATTTATGAATATGATTTAAAGAATAATATATTCTCAGGCATCCAATATTACTGAATGCTTCAAATAAGCATGAAGAATTTGTGAAAAATTGTCCCATTTAATTTGGAAGAAAATCCACACAGAATTCTAGGGCTTAAAGAAAATTATTGAATAGCAACTTTATATTTATATTTGAGTAAGAATGTATTACATGAGGCTTCAGTTCTAACTCCCCAGTGGATTTCAAAGGAATAATTTACTCTAAAAGACCTCAGCCCTAACTCCCCAGTGGGTTAAAAAGGCATATCTTACTCTAAAAGACCAACAGCACTGAACTGCCAAAAAAAATCGAATATCTGAACTTGGAACAGCATATGCCTATCCCAGTGTATTTGCTGTTATTTCTATGTTGAACACAGGATGGCAGCATTAAGTGTCATCTCATCATAACTCAGTTGAATTGAATTAAAATCCTTTTCTTATTAGACCAAGTAAAACTAATGTCAGTGTTTAACCAGCTTTATTTTAAAACTGTATGTAAGTCCTCACCCTGTGTACAGAGTCCTTCACATAGGTAGATATGAAAGTAAGGCGAAGTGATGCCTAAGGAATTATTTACTTTTAGACATTAAGATATGTGCCAAATATGCATTCAAGATGAAATAGGAACACTGAAATATAAGTCTCCAGCAGATTCTGCATATAGGTGTTTAAAGAACCCACCTAGTTGCACATTCAAAAGAAAAAAATAAGGGCAGCATATTTGAGGAATATTCTAGCATATTCATTTTCCATGGTCTATTTTTGTGACTTCAAATCTTACAAAATGCCTTTATGAGATTATGACAACTCTTTTTGCAGCACTGTGGTATACACGCACTTGACAAGAAAAGCAGAGCTCGAGCCGCTGCATTCCCGACAGGGGCCACGAGATGTCTCTGCCTCACCAGGATCTGCGCTGGGACTGCAGCCCACCAGGGCCAGCTCCATACCCCAAACCCTGCCTGTTCATACCACCCAAACCTGACATGCACTCATTATGTTATCAGAAGTATTTCGTGTTACTTGCTTATATATTTAAAGTAACTCTGGAATAATAGATTTCAAATGCTTTATAATTTAAGATACCATACTGTATAGGCTAATGAGTTTCAAAAAAATCGTATTTACTAACTCCACTGAAATCATAAACAATTTCAATGTACCCGAGATGTAAAGTTTTGATGTCAGTGGGAATGATTCAATTAAAACCTTCCTGAACTACAGGGAAAATTAAAACTATAATGCCACAGGATTTTTTTTATTTTATTTTACAGAATGTGTGAAGTATGTTATGCTGAAACTTGTGCCTTGACATCACTGAAAGGTCTGGCAGAAGTCAATTAGCTAATGGAGAGATACTGAACTGTGGATTATATACACTGGGAGAAGTTGGCAGTCGACACTTGGACAATAGCTTCATAAGAAGAAGTTGATCAGTGTTTTACATTTGTTTCTTCCTTTGGGGTTCTTCTTGAGTTGGGCAGGTTGTGCATGTTACAGCCAACATTTAATTGAGACAAAGAGTTCGGTGGTTTGGGAACTCCTGTAGGCTGAAGAAGAATTAAATGCCAGCTTTTTTTCCACACACTATTAAATATCAACGAGTGAAATCTAGATCCTTAGTTTTTAAGTAAACACTTCCATTGGGCAGCAATGCATCTAAACCTGGGTACAGTAATACTGAGTGTTGTCACAACACTTGGTGCCTCTACAGATACAGACCTAATGCATTTTTATTTCAGAAGCCCAAACTGAAACAACCTGTGGGATATCATTTTGCAGAATAGAAATATTTTGAAAAAATCTGGGAAAATAAACAAAGAGTATAATCCTCTAAATGTATCATGCTGGTAACGCAAACTCTGAAACCCATATTAATTTGCTATCTGTTGAAATTCTCAGTTAAACAAATGTAGATATCCCTTCTGCTATATCCACTTTTTCACTATAAATTATTGTCTTATTAATAAAGACGTATGTTTCCTTACATCATTAGGAGTCTTATCCTGTTTCTCATGCTTTTCCCGGTCGTATGCCATCTTTTTCAGAAGTTTCTTCATAGCTTTGTCCTTTTTCTCCTTCCTCTGCCTTTCAGCATTTTGTTTTCTCACTTGGTTAACAATAAACTTAGGAATCTAGATGAATATAGACAGTAAATATTAATAGCTACATAATCTTCTTAAGTAACTAACTTATCAAAACTGTAAATTGACAGATTATCAGGTAGAACTAAAAGCAATAGTATTTATTTCCAGTAATAATTAAAGATTCAAATAATATAGACCTGTGAAACAATTTTAAAACCAATACATTTGTGAGGTAATATTCCATCATCATGCAGTGGTTTTACTTTTCTCAGCCAAAAATTGCACTCAACACTTAGTGTGTACAATGGCGATAATTACTTTTCCTCACATGCAACAAGGATAAAAATTGTTTCAAGTTGCTGATAGACAACAAAGCTCCAACTGCTTCAGCCTGCCTAAGCTAGAGTTTTTCTTGATACCATGACACAACTTCATGTTCTATCAAAACATGTTTTATGCAATATGAAGTTTGGCCCAAAAGGGAAATGAATTAAAACATTGTTTCCTGCAAATATCTCTACACCAAAAAGAATTCCCCATAACAATATATACTGATAGACCAAATACAAATATCTCCCAAGAACTTATTTTTGGATTCACACATAGTACACACAATATAACACTGACCATCAGAACCTAACTTCAGATGTAATGATTTTGTTTCACTCCCAGTAAGAGTCACCTATGAGCAAGAGCCCAGACAGATGGGGCTGATCTTTCTTGAAATCATGGAAGTAACTTCATATTACTTCTTTGTTCAGATACCTTATTTGTGAAATTTATCATTCCCCATCTCTCCTTAAGAACATACTTACTGTCCAGAGAAGTTTTTGGTACTGAATCATAAAGCGCATGACATTTGCTGTTCCAGCTGCCATAACAAACTCGCTTTGTTCAATAGTCTTTGAGCCAAACCCATGAAACGTGAAAAGGTTTGGGGCCATCACCATTGCAACATTCTTTAACGTCATTCTATTTTTGTCTTGATGATCAATTACCCTTTGGAGGAATTCAAGCAGCACCTGAAATAAGAGCAGAACTTGCAGCTCAACTCTGCACATGGAAAGAGGAAAGTGCAGAGTTGAACATGAACACAGGAGTATAAAATGATGTTACACAATTATTAAAAAGCTCTTCATTCCTAATAGAATCACATTAAAAACAATCAGTTATGTAAGCAAGGATGTTTAAGCACAGGACTCTCATGCAAGTTTTGTTTCCTTCAAGTCACAAAGTAAAAGATGCTTGTTATTTCTGTGGGTAACATTTTCAAAAGCAGTCATGTGAGTTTGAAGCCCTGCACAGTAAGATTTTTTCCAACACCCTTGTTATGTAGGCACATAAGTAGCATCCACAGATGCTTGTGCAAAACATTACTGTTGGCTTTTCTTAAATTGAAAGTGAACACAATAGTGCCAGCTGTCATGGTTATGGAAACATGGAGTGGCTAGTTCTGCAAAATAAGCAATTCTTGAGTGAGCACTGCATTGTGAATGACAAGTAGCCAGTTAGAAACAGGCAATTTTCAATTAATTCAGTTCCAGGTATTTGCAACTCAACTCAGGAGCCCTCTTGACTGCTTCCACACAGTAAACAACTCAAAAAGGAAGTCTTGTTTGAACAATAAGACTTAGTAGGATTTTCTCCCTGTAATAGATGATGTTCTGCATCTTACACAAATCCTGCATTCATTTTTGATTGCAGCAATTCTAATAGTAAGCATATTCTGAAAAAAGATTAACAGCTTTGCTACCAAAGGACAAGCATAAATTGGAAGACTCCATGTAACCTGTTGTAAATAGCAAGAGGAAGTGTCAATTTCCAGTTTATTGCACATACAAACAAACAGCACAGAGAAAAGTGAGGAATAAAAATGAAAAACTAAACCCATTTCATAAAGCAAACTCACATCCATAGAATTATAACACTGTTAACTTTTTGCATTGGAAATAATGACTACTGCTGCTGCTGAAAAAGGAGCAAAACTAAGAGAAAAGGTCGCTCACTGGGAGATTATTAGTGCAATGTCCTGGAAAAATTTCAACTCATATTATTAAAAGTCATTTGGGAGGAATCAGGGTCCCAAGGGGGTTTCTTGCCCCCTGAAGTTATGTGAAATATGAAAAAAAAAATGAGGGAAAAAATAAAGGAATCACTAGTTTCAGCATCAACTTTGAACTGAAAAAAACCAATGTCAAAAAGACAACAGCATTCATCACAGTGGATTCACAGAAGCAGACAAAATATTTGTGCAGGAAAATGGTATTAACAACTCTAACCTTCAGAGTGTCTCTGTTTGCTTCAGGTAGAAGAAGAACCAAAAGATTCAAAGCTTGCAGTTGCTGTTTCCTCGTTGGAAGATCTGCCAGTGAAGCACATGAACCTCAGTATTTTGAAATTGTTATTTGTGCTCTTCAAATAGCATGAGTTCTAAGTGGAAACCTCTTGCAAAACGCTGAATGCATACACATGGCTAATCATCTTAGTATGACAAAGGACTGGCAGATCCTGATTTTCTGATACTCATTTCCAAATGTTCTTTTAGGATTCAGTTGCTGTATGACTCAGCAGTCTTCTGGCAATGTTTTCTAGAAGCCTTGTGATTCTTTATTTTGCAATGCTACAAGAAGAAACAGTCAGCTAACGGTTCCTCCCTTTTTGAGCCTGTGCCCCAACATATGAAAGGGTATATTCAAAATTGCTTTCACAGTTTCTCTGATTGCCTTAACAGTTGCATGGTCTCCCACGTCACCCACACAGAATGAATACCACATGTTACTGAACAAGGCAGGTTTCCAGCGACATAAGCAGCAGCAGCTGCAATGGCAAACCAGTGGGGATAAAGCCAAGAGCAGAGAAGCTTAACACATATCTACAGCAGTGAGTGCTGTACCAGATGAGACAAGCTATAATTAAATAAAAGTTCTTCCTTTTACAAAATTGCTCAGTGGTGCATCATTCACCCAAGATGCACAATGAGTGCATCTCTACCATCCCCACTCCTCCACCTCTGAGAAGAGCTCCTACATTCTGGCACTACAGAGCAGCAGAAAGCCCCAGCTCTCTCACATTTGTCACTTGTGATAAACTTCCTCCTGTCAAGCTTTAGAGGACATGCTCTGGCAAGTCCTCTCAGCAGATTCCTAATGAATCAGGCCACACATAAAACAAGTGAAGAAGGAGGTACCTGCACTTAACATATGTTTATCACACTCCTTCAAAATTCAACAGGGCTGTTCTCATGCATCCTGCTTGGATTCCAACTGAATTGCTATTTCAAATACATCCAATCCAGATCAATTTGAGAGACACCACCAAAAAAGTTCATTGATGAAATATTAAAAAACCAAACCCTTGCTGACTACTTTTTACCATAATAAAAATTAAGGTTCTGAATAAATGATTAACAAATTGTATAGTCATTTAAAACACCAAATAGTGAGAACTACTTGCTGTAGAAAGACATACATTAAAAGTGAGGCTTAAATTAAGTTCAGTTTTAAAACCCAATATGACACAATATTAAATGATAACTGAGAATCAACCTTTTCCTATGAAAGTAAGCAAAAATAAATTGCAAAACAAATAAAATTGATTTCTTCAATTGGGGGTTTTCTGTTTGCTCACCTAAATAACTTAATACCAAATGAATTTTAGTTGCTTAGATTACTCGATTAACAAATTAAATTGTTTAAATTATGTAGTTTAAATATTTAAATTCTAACCACACTACTTAGTCACAGTATCATAAAAAACACCAATTACTGTCACAAAGATGGTGCTTTTTCTCTACCACCTAATCTTATTACATGTAAACCAACAAGACAGGCAGAAAACTTAAACAATGGGAGGCTGTGAAATGCTCTGTCTGTTTTGAATCAAATCCTTTGGTTCAGCATAGAGTGTATTGGATCCTGGCACCTGTGTATTTCTGGGTAAGTAAAACCACATAAGCATTCAGACAGCTCAGGAGTGACAAGCAGAAGCCCTCCCAGTAAATGGAACCACCCTGAAGAGCAGTTTGCTGCCAGCATCATCTGAAAGATTCTGGCCAGTTTTAAATTGCCACTTGCAACTGCAAAATCAACACCACAATGTAGCAGCCCAAAGCACCAGTCCCCTACTCCCACCAACCCAACGGCCTTGAAAGGCAGCTCACAACTGGGAGCCTGACATAGCCTGCAGTTTTTAAGAATATTCATCTGAAAACCCTGAAAGCATCTCTTAGAAATGAGCCATTTCTCTGCCTGCAGACAAATGGAATAGAATTTGCACTCCTGTGCTGACTGGGGAGTTAACGCATGTGGGCTCTCACTCCTGCTTAATTATCACCAAGCCACTCTTTCATTTTAATAGTAAGCATATTTGTGTTGGAAAATGATATTAACAATTCTAACCTTCTGAGTGTCTCTGTTTGCTTCAGGCAGAAGAAGAACCGAAAGCTTTTTTTCAATTACAGCTGGTGTGTTTGCTATCTTGGTGACCAGTTGGCAAGGAGGACATTTTTACAGGAACTTGCTGATCTCAAGGTACCATGGATGATCAGAAGTTCTGATTATTCTACTCTAACTTCTCCTTTTGTAAATGGTAGAAGACCCTAAACAGTATAAATTATAATTTGCTAGATTTTCTGCAGAACTACTTATCTTTGCTGTTGTTTTCTTTTGAAGCAAACACTGTTTATAAACTGATACCATCATGAACAATTTCCTTATAACCCTTCTATACCTCCTAACCACTATCAAAAACATCAAAAGGTTGCAACGTGCTTTCACTGTATGTGTAAAGTATTAAAATACTTACATAAAAACATTATTTGTACATAAGCAAAAATATTCCCAGTCTTTTCTCAGGAGAACTAATATTGTTGTTAGTCAATTTGCTCCTCTGTTTCACATATTATTAGTAAAAATACTGCTACAGCAAAGAGGTGTTTCTCTGCCTGGGTATCAATTCCTTTCAGTTGAGACACAAAGGACACTACTCACTCTGTACATCTTGGAAAGCTTTGAGATATTCTACAGTCAGAAGTGGCTGAGGCAGTTCACGAATGAAGAGTTTTAAAAGACTTGCTGCATCATGTTGCTTTACGTTTTCCCAGTTGAAAGTCCCTTCATAAAATTTTGCTTCCAGTTCTTGGCAAAGACTCTGAAAGGCAGTAGATACAGAGAGCACCAGTAACACTTGGCTGCTGGAACTCACACATTATACACACAGCAATACTTTCCATACTTCGAACGAGGGGGAAAAAAGGACATCTGAAATATCACTTAACTCCAGCTGCCACTGATCTTTCACAACAAAAAAGATACAATTGGGGATCAGAAGTACTGCAAGCAAATACAGTAACAGGGAGCAGTCAAATCATACAGGAAGCAATCCCATGGGCCTGCCTCAGGCCCGTATGGAAGACACAATAAGAAACAGATACCATACTCTAGCACATAAGTGTCGTGGCTTCCTTTTCCCCAAAACATTAATATATATGTCTGATATACATAGCAATTCCGAAACTACTACCAAAGGGTGTCGTTGCAATGCATGCATGGCCATTTTCACAAATAAATATGGCAATTATGTGTGCTGACATACAGTTTCCTATCAAAATATACACTAAGGTGAGGCTGGTTCTCTTTGCAAAACACAAGGAAAAGATTTGTGTGACTGAATAGCTGGATGTTTGCCATCTACAGCTAACTCTGTGGTACTGGGCACATACAGCTTTGCCTAGCACTGAGTGTCAAACATGCCCTCTGTGGAAGGGGACTGTACTGCAAATCATGAGGTTATGCAGCAGAATAAACAGCTCCCATGGCAGTGCCTGCTACTGGGTTTCCAGAGATGTACGAACGAGAATATGCTGCAAAGACCACATCCTTCTTTGTCTGTTGCTAAGCATTAGCCCCATCCTCACATCCACTTCATTTATTCCCTAGTCTGGCAGAGTGGGAAGTAGCATCAGTATAGGGCCAGTGACCCTGAGGCACCTCTCACAGGTCCCTCCCTTCTTCTAGCCAAAGTTCTTCTGGACACAAAAGGAGGACAGACACACTGGCTTGTTCTCAATGTATGTGCTATGGAAAAAATATAGCCATAATTATTCATCTGGACAAGAAGGGCATATTGGAGAGAGGATACTAGATACATTTTAAAGATACCATTCTCATTAAATTTAACTTCGTCCAAATGGAAAATGGATCTATTTCCAAAGAAAATGTGGACACTTAGGTTGCTGTAAAAGCTGGATGTTCTCAACTGTCCCCCAGAGAGATCTTCTGTCTCCAGAAGGGGGTTCAAAGGTGCAAAGATCTTAACTAAGATGTCTAAATTCAAGTGGGTATGGTTCCCTGATCAGCAAAAGAAAAGCAAGCTATAGAAATAGAGATGAAAATTCTCCCCCTGAGGCTCATCAGCTCCTCCATCCACATTCAGACCAAATCACTGCAGCAAATGCAGTATTAAACACATAGATAAAACGAATTGTTTTATATGAGAGGTCAGGGCAGAAATGGCGACTGCGTGTCCTAGAGCACCAATATTTAGATTTTAAAGTAAATACATTAACTGTGGGGGATATAGAATGCATTTTTTAATAATAACAACTCAAAAAACTATGGAATAAGATAGCAAAATATTTTTCTTGATATTATCTTTCTTTAAAACCACATAATGAGGAAAATACTTTTTCCAATTTAAGAAAATAAAAAGAAAACATCGGTCCTTTAGCATGATAAATTCATTGCTTTTCTTAAAATTTTCTATTTGAATAAGTAAAATAACTTAACATACTTTCTAACAAAACAATTGCTTCATTTAAAGAAGTTCCAGTAAAAATTAATGAAAGCCAAATAGTGAATGATCCCATGCCTGGGAAATTGTATTAAACTAATAAAATCAAAGAATCAACAAAATCACTCAGAGATCACTCCGTTTTGCAGAACTGATGACAAGTGACAAATAAGAAAGGAGGAAAATTCAAAAACGTATCTTAGTTACTGGTAAATAAACAAAACCAATTTCCATAATATTCCCTTCTTTTAGATGTTTCTAATGAATCAGCTGCTGGACCAAGTTCTACACAACAGAGGCTGGCAGATGTCTTTGGACAGCTGAATCCACTTAAATGGTCCTTTCTGTTAAGAATATAAGGCCAGTTCAGACCATCTTTTTAACACATTGACTCTCGGTGTGAATCATACTGTGTATTTAGTTTCCTTGCATTAAGGCAAATACTGGGGAAGAGTGTACATGTAATTGGCACTCACTCTGCAAAGTGTTGGTGTGCACAGACATGCCTAACAAGATTGAGCTTAGTGAGCCCAGTAGTTATATTGCCGTTCATAAAAATAAATGTGAGAAGATCTTCAGCACATGCTGACTGCCTTGCCCTATAATGTAGGTTAAGTCTAGCTATTAAAATAGTCTCACAATGCCAGAAATAAGCTTCCTCCTGGGGTAGAAAGACTGTGTATGAACTGTTCAGATGACTAAGCTGGTTCAGGGAAAAAGCAAAAGGCTGGAGAGCTCATGCCAAGAATTCATGAGATTTTGGCACAACAGAATTGAAACATAGCTTTCAATCTCCTTCAAACGTGAACTCCAGTCTTCTCCCCAGAACTACACTGGATGAAACCATCAGCTCTCTGGCTAATATAACTCAGTTTCCTTTGTAAAGAGATTTTGCTTTCTGTTATTGAAGACTTTCATAACCATGTGATGTTAAAATATATTAGTATGACAACATAAAAATCAGCGAACACCGATACATTTTGGGAGATGCTAAGAATCTATGCAATGTTTTACCTTTACTCTTGTTGCAACTCCTGGTATTCTAAGAAGTCCTTCTGTTTCCAGAGTTGTCTCTTCTATCTGGGCAATCAGCTGTCAAACACAAACCAAACTACATTAACAAAGATGCCAATTTAAAATTATTGGCAGATAGTTCTGATATATTGAAGCCTTCATGGTTGTACCTACCTCTGTGTGCCTGTGTATATGCATGTATTTGAGCATGTAGATATGTAACAAGTGGAGGAAAAACAGTTTATAAAAGGATTACACTTGTAGAAGAAAATTTTTAATACTGTCTTCCTTTTTCTATGAATACCATTAAAGAAGAGTTTGTCTATTTCATTACAAAACTGTATGTTTTTTACCTCCTTCAAGTCTCCCCTGAAGACCAAAATTTTGGGTTTTTTTAAATTACTCTGCCTTCAAAATTAAATCCCAACTACCACCCTTGTTGAAATGCTTCTGAATCAAAACAACTAAGTTACCATTAGAGATGTAGTACTAACTTTCTCAGAAATACACTTCTTTAGGACTTTACTAGAGAAGAACTAACAACTTCTAGGCTTTGAAGAATCCTCTGATTTGCAAATTCTGACATTCTCCTAACAAACTCAACACTTCGCAATCCTACACGTGGATAAATGTGCAGAAATTCTGTAAAAGTACTTAAAACACATATCATAAATTCGTTTTCTTTAAAAGATATGCCTAGAAGCATGCACTGAAGGATGGATTTAAGAGTATTCAAAAGAAATCTGTAAACGCCAAAAGCTGATGACATCATTTTAGCACAAATAGTTCTCACAATGTTTAACTAGGGCAGTGCCTTTGTTACATGCCTTCCTCCGCCAGCTCTTAAGAAAAATTATGCAACACAGTTGTGTTTTGTCCAGTTACAGAAATTAAAGGGGGTTTACCTACCATTGTATTTATGTAACAGATAAATGCCATAAAACTACTGGACAGAAGAAACCATAAAGTTAGAAAACAGCACTCTAAGTGCCACCCTGGTGTATTTTCTGCGGTTAAAAAAAAGTGCTAACTGGCCACATCCACCTCTCACTGCACCTGCTTGCAGCAGGTCAGTGGCTGCCACTATCAACTGTTGGACACAAAGACACTGTGGGCATTGTGTGATTCACCATCATCACTATGTCTCGGGGAGGCAAGGTCTGGTGGCACAGCTGGTGGCCACAACTCCTTCACACAGACTTAAAAGTTTCCCTTGGCACTCAGCAAGATGTGACCTCTGGCAGCCACCAGTGTCCTGCCTAGGGGAAATCCTCTCCTCATCTCTATCAGGGCTGCTTTGCATGGCTTCATGAGCAGGCCAGAGGGTTACTGTCAACAATAACTTATGATGGAGACACATGGATCAGTATCACCCTCAGATTTTCCTGTTGGGAAACCCCTAGGCTAAAATTATGTAATTATTTTTAACTGAAATTCCTTGATGAAATAAAAATTAGGTTTAATTAAGTAACCTTCCTATTAGGTTGCTTTGCTTCATTTCAGTGATAAATAAAATACATTTTAAAAGCAGAACACACAAAAATGTTCTTTCTTGCACTTCATATAAATCCTCCATTCTTGGAAAGCACATGCTGAAGTGAACAGGCAGAAGAAATGGGAAACTTTATTTTCATATTCTCATTTATAGAAAAACTGTATTCCAAATGACATCTGCACCTTGCAAAACAAATCCCATCTATAATCTATAAATGTTTATGTAGAATTTTCTTTCTGAGGAACTATGCTTACAATGTTGCCAAGATAGCACAGTAATCCATCACTTCCTGCAATTTGAGTTCTTATTTTCTACATAGTATCTTTTCCAGGAATGTATTTTTATGATCCCGAGGAAGTAATTTCTGGCAGCAATAGTTTTGAAAGAGTGATACAAAACTACTTTGAGTTTTCTGTTTCTCAGAAAATAACCTAACAAGCACATCCACAAACATACTGAAATGGTGATGACATGGCACTGAGCTTCTCTCAGTGTTAGAACAGATCCACACACTGTGGTCTCTTTTCCTTCTCATGAAATGAGACATGCTATACATAGGCAGTAAATCCAGGGCCTCCATCATCTTTCCCATTATCTTCCCCATTACCATGATATGATATGGGCCAGAGCATACCCTTAGGTACTAAAGCAACAAGTCTGCTGGAAAAGGATTGTTGCCACCACCAGAGGAAGTTATCCAGCATGATTCCCACCTCTATGACACATGCCTTGTGGCCCAAATCACTTCTGGAAGAGGAAAACCATGTTCTAGAAATACAGGTTCAGCCTGTGGGCTAGGGATTGAGAATTTCTACAGAATTTCAAGTATTTCCTCTGAGGGAACAAAAAAACAACTAAAAAAACCAAACCAAAACAACAACAACAAAAAGAGGGCAGCCCTATTGATGATGGAAGTTACACCACCTTTATGAAATGGAATTTGGCTGCAGTGGGTTCCTGCACTGTCAGTTTTCACAGGATTATTAGTAAACTTGCCTAAATCATGGAGAACAGTTGTAATAAAAAAATGAAATATATTCCACTAAATCTAAGTATCACATTTTCTGACTTAGTAAGTAAAACTGCAAATAAAAGTTACAATAACTTTGATGGATTAGCCTATTATACTGAAAAATGCTACAAGAAGCAAATAAATCCAGGACAAAATGTTACATGTTTGTCATTTGCAGGTGTGTAACAAGTTGACTTGTTCATGTCTACTTGCCTTTTGAAAAATCAGTGGGATCTTGGTTCCTGGAACCTTCTTCTGATCCTGTTCCAGTAAAATAGACAGTGGGACACCAAACAAGCCAGAGTCTGAAGAATAAAGCAAAAGAAAGTGAGATTATTCACATCTCTTCCAGTCCATGTGATACTGACATAAACCCACATTTTTTTAAGCAATAAGTCTATTCAATACATTCAGAGCTATTGACCTTTTGTTCAAAGTGTTTGAATGCCTTTGTCAATCAAGTTATTACACAAAGCATTCTGGCTAAAAGGATTCATTCATCTCTTCCTCAGAAGTCTTCTGTTGTGACTTTAAATTGCCATCCACATATTCTGCAGCACAGTTAAGCAAACTGCATAAACAAACCATCTGCATGGTTCTGGTTTGCAGAATGGATGTGATGATGATGCTACAATGCATATCTTCATCATTCAATGCAAGTTATTATAGTTAAGATGCAAATGGCATGAGTAAAATATCCAGAACTTGGCTACTAAAATGAGATAAATATAATTATCACCCAGAGTTACTCTGAACACTTCTGACTCTGAGGGTTTTGAAATAAGATCTTTTCAACTCCTCTGCTTTTGAATTACACAAAACTGGCACAACAGCAAGAAAACCAGCTCACAAAAGGTTTGTTGGTTTGGGTTTTTTTTAAAGTAGAGTTAATTCTTGGTTAGACAGTAGCCCTTACAGCAGTGCTAAGGCAATGTAAATTTAAAAATAAATAAAAAATTAAAAAATGAATCTAGTACCAACTGAACTAGCCCTGACGCAAAACTTTAGTCTTCAAGCAAATGGGACTGCCATGTATTTATGGCCCAGCTGAATAGAAGTGAATGACCCTTCAAAGATATCTATACTAGTAACAGCTTACCCAAAGTTTTCTGACATCAAACTTTGTTGTCAGAAGTACTGATAATTGCCTTATGTGCAGTTTTTCTGAAGCAGCATACAACAGTACATGTAGTCAAAAACTGCTGTTTGGTATGATGTCATGCCAATATTGATCATAGAACAGCTGCAATTGCTAAAAAAGTGTCAGCTCTTGAGGAAGTGTGATATATGTCAAAAAAGCCCAGTTTCAGTGCCAAATCAGGCACTTCTTTTATCTCAGTCAGCATTAAAGGTCTACCTATAAAATGCAAGGGACTAATACATATAGTCAATACTCATACCCCACAGCTTTTTTATCTTGAATATCTTATCAACAATAAAAGTTTCCATTGAGATGAAGTTAGAAAAACAAACTACAGGAGGTCAATAGAAAGAGGGCTGGGCACAGTACCACATTCCACAGAAGAATTACGTTTTCACCGCCTTTACATACTCAAGCACAAAGGGCAACAGCCAATAGACCCACCATTGTATGAATCAGTTGGCCAAACAACACTTCAGAGGTGAAAAGGTGAGGGTCAGGTAGATCAACAAGGCACTCAAGGCATTACACTGCAAAAGCAGATTTGCTTGGCAGAAGAGGTGACATGTCATTGTCTATTTCCTACACATTTCTATGAGTCTAAGCCCATCTATTTTACATTTTCAAAAAGCTTTTAATCAATTCAGTATTTTATGAATTCCCACCGTTCAGATAATAATGCTGAGTGGAATTCAGTTAACAACGAGTTTTATAAGAAGAAGCACTTAAAACCAAGACCCAAAACACAAGATAATAAAGTGTTTTGTCTCTGTTTAATAGTGACAGCACAAACACTTCTACAAGAAGAAAATACATTTAAGGGATCAGGTTCTTGTAGCTGTTTCTGTGTATGCCTTTTGCATTTAAAAAGTTATTTTCTACTACTGTAAAGCAAAGAGCATATTCTGAAGAATCTATTGTATCTTGCTGTATATCTCTCAATGCTCTCTGTTGCTTTCAATTATTTAAAGTGAGCTATGGCACTGTCACATTCACTGAACCTTGACAACAGAGTTTTGGCCAAAATAGGCTTGTGATTAGCTGGTAACACATTTCAAGATCTTGTAAAGCATGTAGCAGAGGCCAAAAAACAGAAAACAAAGCACTAAAAACCTCTAGCATCTTGAAATTGGTTTCCGTGTTTTTTATGTTCCCAAGAAAAGCAGTGTGATTATACATATGCTCCAATGGCTTGCAGAGTAAAATTACATGTTGCAGCTGTCTCAACATCCTCTGCAACAGCTCAAATCTTCTACTTGATATGATACCATTCAATATAAAAACTGCATTATAGCCTAAATAAATACTGGATGGGCAAGGCCTATATGACACCAGAAAGTCTGTGCCAGACAGAAGAGGAAAGCAGGTGACAAAGGCTCCCAACATCTTCAACCAAGGGCAGTGAAAGCAAAACAGTTAGGTAGACTCACAGAATGACAGAATTACTTAGGTTGGAAAAGACCTTCAAGATCACTGAGTCCAACTGTAAAAGTAGTCCAGTACCTACCTTCAGAAAAGCAAGAACAGAATAACCACAAAGAGCACATACACATTGGGAATATACCAGCACACACCAACTTCTGTGAAGCAATTCTTGCTGCACAGTATGCTGTTAACATAGCTACCCTTCTCCACTCCTTAGTTTATCTGCTCAGTGACTGTCCTGAGTTTTAATTTTAGACAAAGAGCAAGGGTTCAGTAGCTGGAGGGTCATGTCAGTGAACTTGTTTAAAGTGTGCCTTGAGTTAAAGGGTATAATTAAATGCTGCTCGGGACTTATGTTACTATTTATATGATAAATATAAATTTTCTTTTGGAAAGTCATAAAGAACCATGTGTGTTTGCTTTGTTGGATTAAAAAAGATGCAACTGGTTCAGAATATGAAACACCAACTCACCTTTGGTTTTGATTTTTACAGCTTTTTGCTGCTTGAACTCTGTCCCAAGTATTTCATAGAGAGCAGTTAATTCAATCAGTGCTAAAGAATAGACTTTCTTCATGTCCTGAGAGGCCAGGTCACCAATCTTTGTGGTACCTGTTTTGTCCTTCGGCAGTCTGAAATTCTAAAAGCAGAGATTTGCAGCAGGGTGAATAATCCAAGTCATAACAAATTACTTAGCTCAAAGGCTGTGCTTCCTTCAGGGCACAACCTTTCATCATGAAGCCTGCTGTTACTGACTAAATCACAGGAGAATCCCCCAAATAGGTTGAAAAGCAGATGATCTTAAAATGATAGAAAGATTTAGGTTCCTGGTGACTTCTGGAGATCATCTAATTCAATAGCAAGCTCAAAGTAAGGCTAAATTCAAAGTGTGACTGGGTTGCTTGTTGTGCTGTTCAAATGAATTTTGAAAACTTCCAATAACCCCTGTGGGCACCCGATTCAGTGCTGAATACTCTCATAGAGACCTTTGTTACACTGCAAAACAAAATTTGCTCATTAGTCACTTGTGTCCGTTACCTCTTGTCCTTTTGCTGCCCACCTCCAAGAAGAGCCTGGCTTTGTCCTGCCTGCAACCACCTACCCATTCCCTCCCCCTTCTGCATCCTTTTCCAATTTATAGTTTGGAAATGGAAATGGCTGTCCATGAACAATCCTATGCAGAGGAATAGAAATCCCTCTGAACTTGTTCACACAAAATAAAATATTTGGCTGCCATATAAATAATAATAAAGGGGTTCCATTCTTAGGAAAGGGGGATACTTAATTACCAATCACTTCTACTGCACTAAATGCTCAGAAGCTGCATTCAGAGATCAATATAAGGAATTTGGCTGAAAGGGTGAGGGAAAGGGACTTCCCAGCTCACTGAGCTTTCTAACTCCAGATCTCATGACTCAAAGAAGGACTTTCTTCTATTTGGAAAGGTATGTTATACTTCAGAATTATTTTCTCATCCTGTACAAACCCAGCAATAACACAGATGAATTAGTGGTTATGGTACATGACTACAAGGGCACATACCAAAACATAAACATCATTTACAAATGGTAGATACGTAGCCAATTTCCTGCCTTGAGCTTTCATTGACTTGCACAAACTTGTCTGTTTAAAAATAGCTGCCAATGACAAAGGTGCAACCAATAAATACAAACTGTAGATTTAAATAGGTAACTCCGCTTCCTTTTTCCATCATTTTGCAGCTCTTTTTATCACTGAAGAAGAAATCCCATAGCCATGTCTTTGAGCAATCCTTCACAAGCCTAACTGGAAGTCTAGCTAATGGATGTATTATGCATATATACAGAAGTTATGGTATAGCTTTCATCTCCTTGTTATAGTCTGCATTAGAGAAATATGACTCAAACACTTTAGAATCCATTTCTAAATATCCATTAGTGTCTGGTTTATAATGTTTAAACTAGGATACATGGGGTAATTACTACTTGATGAACTGCACGTGTCTTTATCTAAATTAAGTGTTTGAAGAACTGTGAAACACTAACTTCAGAAACTGTGTTTACTCAAGACATGTTTGTATACAGTGTTAGAGGGAAAAAAAAAGAAGACTATTTTCACACCAGTCATTACTTTACATGCATGTAAGCTACATGTTCATGAACTGTTAGGTAAGAGAGATCCTCAGAGATGTCTGAGGATCAACAACAAAATATCTTGGAGGATTTTCTTTTGTATTTATATGGATTTATTCAGACAGAACCCTCTTTTATTAAGACTTGGAAAGAAAAACTGAGTTCAAATTAATCCTTAATTTCCTGCCATTTGACTTCAGACTTCTATAGACCAATCTGTTCTTCATTCTCATCCCTCGCCCACCTGCATTGGATAACTGCACAAGGTTTCTATAGCCTACAACCCTTTTTAAATTATAACAGATCTTTTTATTACAGAGCTAAATCATCTCACCTTAGATAACAGGAAAAGGAGCTGTAAAAATGAAGTAAGGACACAGTTTGTGCACAACCACTAAGTCGTTATTCCAGGTTAATATCATTACTTACATGTAGAATACACTTTGTCAGACAGACAATGACATAAATGACATAATGACATAAATAGGCATAAAAGCAGGTACTTCCATGTTATTGAAAATACTACTCTCAAAAGTCAGTTACCTTGAGAAGATCTATCTCCAAAAAGCTGAGTCCAACAATCTTCTTCGAAATGTAATTCATTCACTGTCAGATAAATATCATCCAAACAGTACCTCTAGTAAAACCAAAGAGAAATAAATAGGAAACACCTACCAGGAGAAGGGTGTCACCTCCTCCACCCTTGCACATTTTGCCTACTGAGCTGTCTTTGAGATTAGCTGCCTGTTCTGCAAATGAGATCTCCAAATTGATGTCGGTGTCTGAAGATGGCATGTCTTCAAGTGGACTCTTCTGCTCATTTGCTGCAAGACTTAACTTTGAACCTGAAAGCAGAGTAAAAAAATCTGAAAATCAACAGCAGCACAACTGAACAGCACTCAGTGCATGAGAGTAAGTTTTAAACCAAGTAGAAGTTAATGCTGTGCAAAGGATAGACTTTCTAGCTGCAAATTCACTGTTTTCTGCATTTTTTATGTCAGTTGAAGATTTAGTTTCTGACCAGGGTTGGTTCAGCTTTTGTGGCTTTTCTTCAATAATTTTGCTCAATAGGGTTTTCTGCTGTTTATTATGAAAAGATAAAGCAATCAACCTCAAACAAACAGCAGACTCCGAGAATTTTGCAAACCCAAAGAGCTCTGGCATCAGAAGTTTCTTGCCATCACACCCTTTGCAGCCTCAGAGACTGTAACATCCTGCATCCAAATCAGCAAATTTTTCTGCTGTCAAAAAATTTCAAAAGCAAAAGATAACGTGTTCTCTATGATCTAAAGTATTAACATCTGGGAATAACAAGGAGTACACAGACCATATCTTTGTTCCATCATTCCTGTCCTCATCCCAGACAGAGGAATCTAGATTCCTCAGAATGGGGCATGTTTCCATGACACAAGGAAGGATTAAGTATGCAACAATGACCTTGCTTCTCTTTCTTTCTTCCTTAAAGAAATCAAACACAAGACAAATTTAGACTATTTTTTGTTTACAAAATAAAGAAGCAAAAAAAGGGAGAGGCAGTTCTGCTTCTAGAAAAAAAGAAGTCACTCAATTTCACAGTAAATCAACTGCTGCTTTTCTGTCTGAAGTTAAAATACATCATGAAAGAAAAAAGAGGAAAATTATACTCTAAATAACACTAATACAAAGCAGCAAAGACAATTTAGGATGAGAAAGATTTCAATCTCTCCACTCTCTCTCACGATGTGGTACTTCTTAAAGACTAGGTTCCTTGTACAAGGCATTACAAATACCTTGCGAGTATTTGTGATGAAATTCAGACTCTTTAAAATCACAGGGCAAAGATAAATAAATCAATCCTGAGCATTATGGTGGGACCATGGTTCTGCCACTGGCTCCTACTCAGAGAAGACTGCAGACTGTTCAAAGCTAACACACCACAAGTGCAGGAAAAGCGAATGGAAAGGGGCATGAGTCGAGGAGCAGAACCACAAGCAGTGCATATGCTTTGGTGTAAGAATGCTGTGTAACGTAATAGATGAATTTTTTTACACTGTGGCGGAAAGTTTTTGTATGGCCTGGAATAACTAGTCAAGACAGAAAAAAGTTTCCAGAAAATAGTTCTAGGTACAGCAAAAGCTTATACTGAAGCAGGGGAAAGCCTGCAGATGGGCTGATTAAAAGAAAAGGAGTCAGGGAAGTGCTGCTTGACACTGATACTTTCAGTGGTTTCCAGAAGAGCTGGGCTGCAAGCATGCAACCCAAAAAAAACATGAAACATCAAGTTTTTCTAAAAAAAGGTTAGACCAACTTGAAAATTTTTCTACATTATATTTGCATCTCATTGAAACACACAGAACTAAGACTAGTCTTTGACATTGTTCAGAGTGAGTCCTGGAAATAACCTCAGTCAGCTAGGGTCAAACTCAGGGGACCTGATAGACAAGCAAATGGTTGAAACTACCACAGCCACCTTCTGGTAAGGCTTTATGCAACTACTCTCATGTCAACGTACTTAACCTAGAGATGAGACACTTGCAGAGAGAGAAGGTGAATTTGAGTTAACAGCTTGACTCTATTTAAAACCAAGCAATGCTCTGAGTAGTAGAATAAAACATTTTCAAACTCTGCCTTTTCTGTGTGTTACTCACCACTTGTTTTTTCCAGTGTGGCTTCTGCTCACTTTCCATGGGCCATGAAGTGCCTAGGGCATACACTAAAGATTAAGCTGATCCTGAAACTAGAGCTGCTCCTTCTGGTAAAGAGATATACGAGTCCTCAGTAAGCAAACATACCCAAGGTCAAATTCATCCCTGGCTCTGACCTTTGGCCTCCCTGTGTGTATATCCGTATATATCATGCAAACCATTTAATGCATCTGAACTGAACGAAAACAGTTCCCTGTCCCCCCAAGACTTTTGTCATGCTAATGTGGCCTATAAATGACCTGCATACTTCCTACTAGCCTAGAAAGGATCTGATGTTAACAAAGAAAAAAGCAGTAGCTCCTATTTCAGTCCTCTGGTCATATGAAGATGCCATGTAAGGCAGAGGTCTCAGTAACGCTGTGCACATTTTAACAGTCAGGAAATGCTGCTGCTGTGGGGAGTCTCTTCCTCATCATATAGCCTTGCTCCTATTGTTCTGCATTCCTTAACTGGGCAGCAGCTGTAAGAGGAAGTAGCTTTGGTATTCTGCCAAGCTGCCAACTATATGCAATATTTCGTGAAAGAAATGCAAGTATGATACAGAAAAACATAAATATTGCCTATAAGGATGTGGACACCATATTTTATATGAATTCTGTACCCTTTCCATGGTTCACAGAGCTGTTCAAAGATCACATAAAGTGGTGGGAATTCTTCAGGCATACAGCAATGAAACAGTGCAAGTGCCAACCTTCCTACTTCCTAGTTTTGCTAGAAAGCCTAGACTATACCCCAATGGAGCCATGCTGAGAGATCTTAATTTACAATTGGAAAGACAGAACAATTTTTTTTAACTGACAAAGCACTTCCCTAAAATGCTAGTTCATGACGATCACAAATAGAAAATAAGCTTTGTAATCATTTCACTGACACTCTAGCACTTCAGCCATAAGTTCCTCATTTATCACATAAAATGAAAAGCAGAAAAAAACTCTTTAATTAAAAAATACAACATTTCAGTCTTTTTCCCTATCAAAAAGAAAACATTACTGTTTTTTCCCCTCCTATTACACAGTGTACACACAATTCTTTCATCAATTTTCTAGATCATTATACTTTGAAGTTGTCCTCATACAGAGGTTTTATTTATCATCCTTCCCTTGTAGCTAATTCTGTGTTCAGAAATACAACTGCAGTCTCACAGTAAACTGATTTTTTTCTGCTCCCCTATTTAAGCTAATGAGTACTTAGCTTTCACCTCCTTTATTCTTTCCTTTTTGTTTAAGAGGTCTCAACCAATATGGCTATTTACTCCTTTTCACAGGATTCCAAAGAGAATTACTTTTTTTTTTCTTTTGTATCTGTTGAACATATTGCTACCTCTGCAGGTGTTTAGTGAATGTCATCGATTGTTAAAATAATAATGTCTTTTGAGAGCTTCATACATGATTCTGAACTTTCTTTTTGCTTCCTGTAGACACGCTACATACCTACATGAAACAAAGGCACTTAAAGCCAGTAAGTGAGAATCCTTCCAGAAAAACCTCATATCCATGTCTACAAACAAAACATCTTAAGAACTCGAAGTGTTCTGTTTGAGCAGGATTGGGCAGAAAAGAAAAAAATGCCATAGCTTTGTATTATTCTATGAGTTTGCTTATATTATTTAGTCAAGAAACAAGGTGTGTCAGACTGGTAAGAAAGGAGAAGTGAACACAGGTTACTATCTGACCAGGTATGCTTTAAGGGCAAACCACTTACATCTCCAGTCTGGCAGAAGCACTTGGGAATGTAGCGTTCAAATATCAAATTAGGAACAGACATCATCTTTGGAGTAGGGCCAAAAAGAGTAATTTACTTTAAGTGTTTTAAGATACCTCAATTTAAGGGTTTTTTAACAATATCTGAGATTTTATTCATTTTTTCAGGTAAAACTGGGACTACTTCTCTGTCAAAGAGGGTTTCCATTTTAAAATAATGTATTTGGATTTGGATTTCATAAATATTTACTACCTCTGAAATGTCAGGCACTGTTTACTTTTTGCCTTAAATCCATTCACTGTTTGTATAACACCAATTTGCTCATCATTCTGGAGGAAAGATCACAGTACAGCACTGAAACAGGTGTGGTGCTTTTAACACCACCAAACTTCCATGGTTTGACTGCAAATTGAACTGATCTTTCCTTCCTGCTCCAATCTTGGGAGTAGAGCCCACTTTAGCATGTTGACAAGAGCAGAAGTGTATCAGGACATAAGCAGGCTGCATTTGCCATCCACAGCACAATCTGTGCTGAGGAGAGCTAGCATATGGGATTTGCCTTTCAGAACTTCCTATTTCTGAAAGGTTCATCAGGGCCACTGAGAAAAAAAAAAAAAGGAACCAGATGTGACAACAATTCTGTAATAATTGCTTGGTAATTTTCCAGCTCTGAATCCTACAGTGGAGTTTATTGACACAAGCACCAGGCATCTCTTCCTTCCCTTGTGCCGAACCAGCGGTCTGGCAGTCCTCCCAATTTTTTACTGTTCTTATTGGAGTGAGGTTTGCTGAGAGAGGACAGGGAAATATACACCTCTGGAAACACAGATTTATTGCTATTCAGGGCTGGTTTATATTCATCTCTCCTGCTTCAACTTCCATGCACATACTGTATTGTCCATTGCTGTTTTCCAAGTCTAATCCTAAGGTAACAACTTTTCCAAAATACTACTGGTTGGTATTCTAGAACTGGAGCAGAATTTTATTTGATGGCTTAATTACAGATAACTAACTTGCACAAGGGAACTTGATCTGCCTGCTTTAAGTGACTATAGGGTTTAGTGTAACACCTATGTGCTATCCAGTCCCCCAGAAGAAGAAAAAACCCCAATATATGAACATAACAATGCAGTATTTTAAAGCTTAAATGGCTGCCAGTAAATATCCTGATCTCTACTGTGGTTGGTATAGTGGTATAACAGACATAGTGCAATCCCTAAGAGGAAACCTAAGATGATGCAGGACAGCCACCCTTTTATTATAGGACCTGAAGAACAGGAGAAAGCTCCGTCAAAGTCTTTCATCAAAATTTATGCTCCCAAAACAGAAACTATCTAATCAGCTAAAGATTTCTGTGATGCTCTATCCTGGCAGTGAGAGTGATGGAGGGATAGTCCATGGGTACTGCACCCCTCTTCTGTGATCACACACCATTGACACAACCCAGTCCCACACACACACAGAATCCTTTCCATCTTCCTTAAAAAGTTAAACAACTTTTTTTTCTTCCATCCCTGTTTTAATTTGAACAGATGTTTATAGTCCATTTGGTTTTATTCTCTCGCATGCACTGATGATCTTACGTATAGTACTTTATTTCCTGTACTGTAGAGCAGAGACAGACCAGAAGGGATAAATTAAGAATCAGGAAAGACTTAAGCATAAGCTATGAGAGAAGACTTCTCCCAGATAGCTTGATTATAAAACGATCCCTGGTAAAAACAGGGCTCCCCAGATGGCTTAAAGGACACTATCTACAGCCACACTTAACTTCTTACACCACAACCATGCAGTCCAGAACAATATTCTGCATACTTGAAATATGGACTCATGTAGTAACTTGTGTAGCTGAAAGCCTACAAACCAACAGAAAAAAAAATTAAAGACAAAAATTTGGCATTACCTTTTGTTCCATCATGTGTTTCATTTATGTTTTCACTTGTTCTTACAGTTGAGGGTTCACTGCCATCACAGACCTAAGAAAGGAAAAATAGATATACATGCCTATAAAAAACAAATGCATGGTTGTAGAAACTCCTTTGATTCTGTGAAGGATTAAAACACAACCCCCCACAATTCAGGGGTTTGCAGAAGCACACCTGTGTGTTTCAGTAGAAAACTTTTTGCCAAAGTCTAAGGGGATCTGAAATCCAGGTTAAAAAGCAATTAAAGTCAATTCCTCCTCTTCCTAGAAGGCTAAGTGCGTGAAACGCTTAATTTTTTAGAGTGGCAAAGCATAAGAAAATTAAATCTTTGATCCAAAGCCTTAGTCTGCTCTGGAAAAGATATGGAATCTGGAGGAGATATTTTGCCTGACTCAGCCCAAGTTCCTTGCTCTTGCAAAATCTTACATGGTTGTCTTCCCTAGAGAGCAGACCCATCCCTTTTGAAGGGCAGCCTGACATTAATATCTGTGCTTACAGCTTAGACTTCCAACAACAAAACCAGAGCACTTTGAAGAGACAGCAAAATGGGAAAGGAGTTGAACCACCATCTTTCTACAATGCTTCCCTACTCAGTCTTGAGATGTGTCACATTCTATGAACTGGATGACGCCTACTAGACACAAAACTATTTCAGTATATGTAGAAAATTTATGACCATATATACGGGTATACATATACCCATATACATTTTTGCCCACATAGTATTTTTATTATCTTTTTGGCAACTCAAGTTAACAATGGATTTCTAATTGTTTTTTACTCAAGCAATTTATAACTCCATACCTACCAAGAAAAAGAATTCAAGTTTTAAAGATTTCTCCTACCAACACCATCTGTATATTCACTTCTTTTTAAAAAAAATCAGGGATCTCAAGAGGAGGAAGAAGATAGCATGACAGCCCAGAAAACTATTACTGTTCCACAAAGCAGCAGAAGTAGACTGGAAAGCTGTCAAGGTACCAGAAGTCTAGCTTCTCTTTGGAAATATGGCAGGAAATTTAGGAGAAATATCAACACAATTGTGTTGATGCAAAATATTAACACTATTGTTTTACCTTTCCTCCTGTTTTCCTCCAGATGAAGAGAGGTTATAGGATTTTCAGAGGCTGTTATTAAACTGGAATGACTTCATACAGCTGCATATGGCTTCAGTCCTCTTTTGTTACATAAAAAGCTTTCTAATGATGGGAGAGTAACAAAGGACTGAGACAAAGTTACCTAAGGAGCTTGTAGAAGATACTTCTCTACAGGCCTTCTGTGACAGATGAGATGAATAACCACAAGCAATGATTTCTGAATAATTATCTTGCTTTGGAGAAAGGAATGCACTAAAGGTTTGAGGGCCTACACTTGTATTATTTTATTTCTGTCAAGGAGACAGGTATAGAAGGATCTTTTTCCCATTATTTCTGCATTTAAGAAATATTTTAAACATCTGTTTTATACATTTTAAATGGCTTCAATAATTTGCCTGTCCATCTTCTACAGATGTCTTCAATATCAAAACATGTCATTTAAGAGACACAGAAGTCTACTGAACACTGACGCAGGATTTTCAATCATTACAATGTGTAGCTTAAATTCAGGAACATGAGTATTTCTTGTGCTTTACTGAAATAACATACTTGAAAGAGAAATTATACTGCCTTAAGCTATATATTTTACCTAAATTGTTCTGCTATTAGATCTTGTAATTTTTAGGTAGAGTCAATTACAAATCAGATACCAGAAAGCTTTTATGAAGTTAATATCCCTCCTGCAACCACATGCAAAGCAGAACAGTGAAAGGGAAGTTGTACCTCTGGAGCACACATTTGAGCTTACAAACTCCCCCCGTTACATTTCACTTCGACTGAGTTTGGAAGGAGGTGCTGAAGGAGAGGAAGCTGTTGAGGGAAGGAGGAACTTAAAACCCCTCAAAATTCACAATGCTTTCCACCACCACTACCACTGCACGGAATGGCAGCGTCAGCAGTGAGAACGATGGACAGAGTTGAGGACAGCTAAACCAGCCATGCACTTCCATCAGGTCATATTCTTCTTATGGCTGAAGACCTCAGTGCTCTAGGGGAGCAGACAGGACAAACACCATTCTCCACAGAAAAGGAATTTTAATCAGTGTCTCCATTTCCCTCCTTCCCCTTTGCTTCATACGGGAAAGGAACTCTCTGTTCAATATCCCATGAGAGGAAACCAGCATGCTTCAGGACCTGTCAGAGCAACTTCCCATACAGAATGAGCAACACACACAGGCCATGGGAGTTAGTACGGGGTTTAAGTCCCCAGCTGATAGGCATAAAGACCTAGCCAAAACCAACGTGGTTAAGTTGATGTCCCTTTTAATTTCCCACACTTTTTTCCCCCCCAAAAAGGCAGTAAGAGGTACTACCACCAAGTAAAAGTGAGCTTTTTGTAGTTCTTTGGGTGATTGCTGCAATGAGTTTTGCATCTACATGAAAATTAATTCAGATTAATATTTTGACCATGGAGTGATTGTCTTATTCATCACCCTTAAGTAATATGATGAGCCTCCTAGGGGTGGGGCCCTGCTAGACCTGCTGTTTGCAAACAGAGAAGGGCTGGTGGGAGATGTGGGGGTTGGAAGCTGTTTGGAGCACAGTGACCACGAAATTATAGAGTTTTCGATACTCAGGGATGAAAGAAGGGCCATCAATAAAACTTCTACCCTGGACTTCCGAAGAGCAGACTTTGGCCTGCTCAAAAGTCTGGTTCAACGTGTACCCTGGGAAACAGCCCTTGGAAAAAAAAAAAGGGGTCAAGGAGGGATGGACATAGTTTAAGAAGGAAGTATTGAACGCTCAGGAGCAGCTGTCCTGGTGTGCCAGAAGGTGAACCAGCAGGGAAGGTGCCAGCCTGGCTGAACAGGGGGACTTT